AAAATTTGCCTTTTTTATCTTTCTGCCTTTTACAATATTAAAGTAAGCATAACAATGTTGGCTAAACCATTCTTGTCTATCATTATTATCAGTCATTATTATTATGCTTAATCATTATTGTCTAAATTTTTTTAATGGAGTAATAGTAAGCACTTTCTAGTTTTCCTTTTTGATATATATTAAGTTGGTAGCGTGTATTTTAGATAGCACACTCCATTTTCTATCTGTCCTTTTTTTATTTCTGAATCCAGAAATATTCTTAGCAAACTTTGTATGCCCAGTCTTTGATCTAGCAATACTTTACTTGACAATATAGTAGTAATACGCCTACTAACCATTATTTCTGATATGCTGAATGTCAAATCCCGAGGTAATATATACACCTTCTTTTTCCAAGTTATGGACGAAATACCGGATCTAACATTTATAATACTAGACAGTTTGTTAATTTTAAGATTATAAAAAGAAGAATACACCCATTATTTCTTGAATCTTGACTTCACGTTTATAAGATGCAAATATTATAACAAAATAAACGTTATTATAATCAGCATTTCTCTAAAGGAATACAAGTTAGCTTACTATAAGAGTATACCAATTTATATAATATTTAAAGTTGTGACCACAGAATAAGAATATGCAAATATTGAGGCAACTTAGTAAGAATTCTCATTACCATAAGCAACATCAAATAATTGGATATCTCCAACGTAATTTTTAGTTGAATAAAGAATATTTATAGTAAATTTGCGTTGACAAAGATCATTTTACTCTACATGTTATATTAGGTTTTGATTAGCAATTGCTTGATTAACATTACATTCCCGCGCGATTTACACTTGTTATTAACCTATGCAGGTTGTGAAATACACGCTTGCCAATCTAAGACAAAGCTTATAACTGCATGTTCCAAATATTTACTTGTTTTGAAGCAAAAATATACTGCTAATAATAAACTTTTCTCAATTAGCTTAATATTTGTTTTCTATTGAATCAACAATATGCATAACATAGTTCAGAATTACACACCAACTGTAACATGTGAGGCAAATTCTGAACGACTATGAAAGACAAGGACGATTACTTAAAATTTTCCTTTTTAATGTTGTCAGTAAAAGTCTTTGTTTTCTCTTGTGTAGTCATAATTTCCCCCGGGTATGGACCGACTAGGCCGTTTACTTCATAATCAACCGTTTTGTTTTGTTGTTTGCGTGCGTATGATATTGCAGGTTAATCTCGCATCATACAATATATTTGTCGACTACTCATTTCGCAGTATTAAATTCTAATTTTTAAACTTAACTATCTTTAAACTTATGCATATTATAATGTGATTATCAGCCCAATAATAGATGAAACGTGAGAGCTGCTTTTTCATGAGAGAGAATGTGGATTTGAAAAATATATATGTTTTTATATATTGGTCTATAGTAATAGACAATAAAGAATGACTATACTGCGATGCAATCCTTGTGATGGCCATGTTTTTTCTCTCTAGTAATACATGGAAACTTAGTGTATGAATCATTAAATGTTTCACTCTTTCTAACGTTAAACCAGCAAAGGCAATTCAATATGATTTAATCATATGATCGTGAACGCGATAGCAAATCGGAAAAAACAAATGTGTTTTGTTGTCGGCATCTTAATTTAATGCCGCTAATAATCTTTTCGGAAGCCTTTATTATTTTCGGTTTTTGCCTAACGTAGATAGCAATAGCGTAAGTTTGCTCGTTTAGCCAATATATCAAACTACTAACATGATCAGATTAGAGTCGATACACACACTATCAATGAATAGTCAAACTGTCACGTGCATGTACATAAGCAATCACAAGCAACGCGAAGATCCCCAAGAATGAATTCATGATCATGCATATATATGCGCATATAAGCACATAAACACACAAAGACACTCACAACCCGCATGTTATTCTTTCATGTTCTATTTCCATAACCTTCCATCTACCGGATTATCGCGTCTACGCTCTTAAAGATGGTTTGAATGCAATGCGTGTGAAAGTAAGTAACGCATCGGGAAAATTTTTACCTGCATAGGGTTTTGTGAGAACGTTACACGAATGTGGGTGAGAAACAAGAAAAAAAAAAGCCAGGCGAGTTCATGTGGTAACGAATGGAAATCACGAGGAAGGCGTAAAGGCAATTTGCAGGCAGAGAAAAAAAACTGACAAACCGGATTTTATCATAAATAAAATTTTTGATGATAAACTGAATACACGTATCAGTAATATAATAATGATTGTCAGAAAATCTGTAAATTGGCGAATTAAAGTTAGAACGAGAACAACAACAATTGTGGTGCAGCTAAATTAGACGTATTATTTTCCGAAATAATTTAGACAAAGTGAACATAACGCCACAGATTTCAAAGCTGCAGAAACAAAAATTGTTGCGTCCATATTTTATTTATTCTAATTCAAACCTTAATATAAACCGATTTAATAAAAAAAAAAACAATGATTTTTTATATTACGATCGCTATCATTTATGATATTTATTTGAAACCTTTTATTTTTTTTTTTACAGAAAAACGGACTGAGAAAAATTTCTCCGCTTTAATATTTTGTCAATATTATGCTTTAAAATTGCCATACAATCTAATTGCAAAGAATTTTGTTTATAGGGGACTTGCTGGTAGAACTAAAATAAAACCAATTTTATTAAGGTTGCGGCGAACAATAAGTTTACTAATGGGTATTTTGTTTCCAGCATTATTCAATTCTTTAGAATGCCGTAAAATGGGTTTATTGTTTGCATCTTTTTCAAAATTGTTCTATTTTGCATTCGGGCTGATAATTTCTCTCGTCAATTTGTTTGCTTGATTTGTATGTCTTACTAAATTGATTGTTTACAGCAATATAGCATATCTGTAAACTTTATAATAAAAAAAATATTAGTACTAATGGAAAATTCAATCAAAAATCCGATTCAATATTTGCGAAGTTTTTTTATTGTAGACAAATATAGTGCAGATAATAAGTGTTTAATGATTAATTTTCGGAAATGTCTCAGTAAACTACTTCCTACGACCAACATACAATTGCGTGGCTATTACTTTACTTTATCAAGAACGTATGTAATTTGTTCGTTTATACTTTATTTGTATACTAAGCAAATGTATTTGCGCAGGCTGTGATAATGAACTTTATTTGGAACGTAAACATTTGTGCTCAATTAGAACTGTAATAAGTACGTACACTTTCATAATTAGCAGAGTGTAATCAATCACAAATTTGCGATCACTTAGAAACAAATTTACAATGTAATACACCTTGTTAAGTAATGCATCACTTAAATTAAAAAACGAGTACTCGCTAGACGTTATGATAAATTGGATATGCAAGTCATGTGACAAAAATTTCCCCGTGATCATAACGTGCGTATCGCGCCAAAAGTGTTTCGATTTCGTGTCGCCACAAACGCACAGCCATACTGTACATATTTCTCGGCAATCTTGAAAATACTTTGCGTTTATTTAGAAATAAAGACTATGCTTATTTTTTATCATGATGTTTTTATTGAAAAAACCCTCACGTATACAGCCAAAATTATGAAACAATTTTACAGCTTTTAAATACTTTTTTGGTACGAAAAATACTTATTAACAAAAAGTATGTCAGTTTATCTAAGGGTATTTTGCAAACATTCAATTTTTAAAAAAGATTTCCAACAACAAGGAAATTCAGATCCAAGTGTTCGAAATCCTTTCATAACATGGGATTTTGTCTAATCTAGCTGTACTTGCTCTTTTCATAACTTCAACAGCATAATCTTCACTAACTGTTGTTCTTCTTATAGTTTTTCTTATTTTATCAAAACTTTTATTGTTGGAAGCCAGTTTATCTGGTTAAAGAAGAACAAACTTTTATAGAAGCCCATGTGCAATGTAACACAATAGTTTCTCACTTGAAAATCTTTCTATTCAAATTATGTCGTTGTTTCTTGGGGTCAAGGATACGTATAATCCAGCGATTAACAGATTGGTTCAATCTTCTCTAGCAAGTAAAATATATGTCTAAGACTTGAGTGGATTCCTTGCTCACAAATTATCAGCATAAAGCCAACTCAAATTGACAATGTTTATTACGGCATATACGATGATGAAATTATATCACTATTACTTGACAGTAACGAAGAATGTACACCAACACTTGTGAGAAAGTTTGCAAAAATATACTCACTTTCGACGCACACGTATAATAATGATGTCAGTCAATATAGACAATAGAAGAAGTGGCTCAAAAATCGCAACAGACTCCTAAAGGGATTCACCAAGTCTAATAACGATAACTATTACATGGTTGCTGATAAACTCTTTTACCATTTTTATTCTCGATATGGATTCTGCACCACATGTGGAATACTCCGGTGTAGTCCTGTGTGGTGCATTTGTGGGTGTAAACAATTATCTGATGGATGGATCAGCAACAATAAGCAGCTCGACGAGTTTATCAAGAAAACTCAATTCAAACAAACTCTGCAAACGAAGCCTATTTGGAATGGATCCCACTTGATTGTATCTATTATGATGATGGGAGATATACGCATGGCTTATACGTACATGGTCTACCTACTAATGCACGCGTTAAATTGACTCGACTTGAGATAACAGATAAGACACATGATTTATATTATGCCGAGGTAAACTACTTACTTGTGCGCGTCATGTTTATTTAATAGTTTAAATAATTATTGACATATGATTATGTATCATTTTCCCAGCTGAATCTTATTATTCTATTTATTATTATTATTATTATTATTTATTATATTATCATTATTATTTACCAATAAACCAAGAACGAAGCCGATTAATGCTCCGTTGAAGAATTCGTTTGTGAATGTAAACATTTTTCGCAAAGCGTTATTTATAGAATTGTTTGATATGTTTTGTTTATGAAATTTATTGTGTTGCGGTTGGCTTTGTGAAAGTAACTTGCTTCTATAATACTATAGCAGAAATTTAGTATACGCTCGAATTACTGCTGAACTTTCCAGATACTCACCTTAATGGCATTATCTATATATTGGAGAGCTTGCAGTGGTGCACATGGCATCAAGTCGGGAGGAGCTTGCGGTTGTGTCGTAGATGTAGATGTGGCAGGTCCCGATAACTCAAATAGCGCTTCAACAGCCTCCGTTTCCCCATCATGGCGTACCGTGACCTGCATGATAATAATAAGTTATGCACACAGACTTATATGCTTGGGGTCATTGTCTTGCTGGAACCTCCAATTATTCCCAAGCATACTATTAATTTCTTGGAGGTGTTTTTCAAGTATTTCGACATAGAATTTTGCATCCATTATCTGCGTGAAGCAGAATAAACTCGTTTTCCAGGGGATCGATTTTACTTGGATTTGTAAAAATGGGTTGATTTGCCCCCAACTTTTGAGTGTTTGTTTATATATTTATTTCCCCGAAGGTTGTTTGTGTGGCAGGGAACGATAAAAAATAACCCCCAGTTAGCTCGTGTGGCTATGCCTGCGTACTTTCTTCCGCAACAGTCATATGATGTACTGACTTTTACATCGATGAATTGAAAAAGCTATCAATTAAAATTACGAACAACTACACCTCAGTAAACACACATACAATTGTATCCTGGCTGTCTGACATCTGTTCTGTACACTCTCGAAGGCTCTGTGACAATGCTTCTCGGCGTTCACAAGCCATCTCCGTGGGTGACTTCTCACCATCAGTTAGATCACTCTCATTATTGTCATCAGACTTGACGAGATCATCATCGGAATTGTTATTGGAAAGGTTGTCAGTTACTTTATTAATAACCTAATTTTTTAAGCATACTCCAGAAACAAAAAAGCTCAATAGCAGTCATTACCTTGGTCATTCTGATGTGCTTTCCTGGCCTTTGCTCATCATCAAGAAACCTCTTCATAATATTTGACGTAGTTGACCTTGCGTATTGTTCAATTTGCTCAGTCACTACGGTGGCAATGCTCACATGTTGCGCAGACTGAATAATAAGGAAACAATGAATGTCTTGGACTAGCATATTTAGATTCTGAAGAGGATGCAATGATTTACCTGCAACTTTCGAACTTTTCCCCTTGCTCTTTCCTCAACCAAGTGGTTTTTGGCCAAAATGTTTTGTTTTTCGTTTTTCAACTTTCCAGAATTGCTGTATTGCTGCTGACCGCTTGCTTTGCTATAAATAATAATAATAATAAAGTTTTGAATACCTGTACCTAGCAAATTTTGTTACTAATGGCTGTTCACATGCAAATAAAAACAGAAACATCAGGAATCAAGGGAAGCACCCAGACTGCCTTTAATAATTGAATATCTATATTTTGACTGGTTTCCAAATCCCATGGTTCACCAATAGACAATCCCAGCCATTCCCACAACAAACATTTGTTCGCACAATCTAGTCGGCATACTCAACAATATGCATAAAGTCAAGAGGATTCGTGAAATAACATTACGGTCGTTCCCACAACAAACGTTCGTTGTACTAATGAAACACAATTGTGCACTTGCCTTGAACGCCTTTTTCCAACTTAATATACGCTGGCCAACATTTGATGTCTCAGCATAATATTTGGCGATGGTAATTAGTTCCTTATTATACCGAGCGTACTCGACGGTCATGTCCTCTAAGTCGCCACTTGAGAGCCGAAAATCTAAGAATTTCTTGAGGGAAGGTTCGTCTGTACTTTCCCAAAAGTCTACATGGGAGGTTAAGTTGCAAATTACCATAACAGATGCACATAAAAAGCGTTGGCACACTTTATCTTACCACGGTATTTGACAGCATCAAGGCATTTCGGCAGTAGGTAGACACCAGCAGCAAAAAAAGCAGTAAAATACTTTAAAACTGACGTTGCGGAGTAACCTATTACGGGCAACAAGCAGAAAAGACGTCCTGCAGAAAGCGTTGCTTAATATAAAATCGTGCCGAAGACGCGAAGCGCAGGGATATTCAATCGCGCGTTCATCTCACGTGGCATATAATCGTTTGGCACCTTGTGTCATGTCTCAGGAAATTCGCAGATCAATTCTAGAATATTCAGAGAGAATCTTGAAATCTGATTGGTTTAAATGCACTGCATAAGAATCAAAACTAAAAGTCAGAATACACTCTTACGAGTCTATAGCTTCATAATCCACCGCGATCCAC